CCAATATCTAGAAACATACACACACACACACACACCACTGGGTATCCCATCAATGGTCTTGTGGAACACCCCATCTCTAGAGTGAGCATTATAGTGCAATCTGTAACAAGTGCAGATTTGAGGCAAAGCATACTGGACCAGGCAACACCCATCACATCCCATTATCAATGGTGAAAACGAGGGTTGCTAAAAACAATAATATAAATGTGAGGAAGTGATAAGACTTACCCCATTCAAAGGTGAATTGATGTGTAGAATCACCATGGGAGGGAGACAATATCCACCTGAAGAAGACACAGCCAGATTATGCAGATAATGAGTGAAAAAGTACTGGGTAGTGTAACATGGGGTAGATCACAAGAAATAGAAAGGTTTCAGGGAATAAAAAATTGGGAATGTTAAGCCCAAAAAGAGGCAGGAAATGCCACATAACACCGTAAGGAGTGAACCAAACAAAGAAGTTGATCAGGATTGAAATGGGAGTACCAGTTGGAGAAGGAAGGTAAGGAGGTGGATATGAAAGCCAAACAGCCTTCATGGGTAGCATAGATCTGAGGGAGGAAGGACCTGTCGAGATATAGGATGACATAAGAGAAATGGTAGAGGTAGTAGGTAACATTAAAGGCATAAATACCTGAGCTACAACATCCTCAAACAAGCAGAAGGAAATAGGTCTTAAGGAAGAGATGGTAGGTGGAACATGAAGACAAAGGTTCAAAGGGAGGATGGGAAAGGCATAAAGGACCACACTGAGATCCCCATCAGGCAAATCAAAGGAACACTGAAGATGCATGACTGGAAAGGAGCAGAAAAGGAGGGAAATGACAGGGAAAGACAAAAACCTGGAGAAACGGAAGGTGTTCAACAAGGCTACCCAATAGTTAGACACAATCAAAATGGACAAGCCTTTGGTACACTCTGACAACTTCAATGAGGTTACTTATATCACCAAGCAAGGAGGTACTAAATCCAGGTCTCTGTGCTTTCAGATGCTGGATCTCCTTTTTCTGTGCCCACACTCACTGCAATGTGGTCTTAGTTTGCGATGTTCCTAGTGCCCCGAATCTAGTTGCAGATCGATTATCTCATCCCATCAAGATTCTCCCCATGGAGTGGTCCCTCAATCCTCAGGTCTTTCAGTGGGTGTTTTCTCAGCTGGGAACACCTCATATTGATGTCTTTGTCATACACTGGAACACCAAACTTCCTTCCTTTTGGTCTCTCATTCCACACCTGTTAGCTCTGTGGGTGGACATGTTCAGTCTTCACATCTATGCTTACCCTCCTATTCGACTCCTCTCCAGAGGTCTATTCCTCATCCAAACCACTCCATATCTTGTCCTACTCGTGGCTCCATATTGGCCAGCACAACCATGGTTCCTTCTGCTTCGACCTTTACTTGTACAGTCTCCCTATCCTTACTTCTATCGCAGTTTCTGCTCTGTCAACCTTGGTCAGACATTGTTCATCCACCACACTCCATTTTCATGAATGGCTTTTATCAGGTCCATTGTCTCAACCCAGGTACTGACTCCACACGATGAATCTTTCCTTTTCCGATCCATTAGACCTTCTTCCATGTCCATTTACCACAGGCGATGGTATAACTTCTGCTTTTAGTTTTTTACATGCTTCCCATCCTTCCATTCCTCATCTTTCCCAATTCTTCACCTATACCATAACCACACTCTACTGCAGGAGAGAAAGGAAGTGGGGCAAAGCTCAATGAACCACCATAAGTTCGAAAATGTTGATATGGAGAGAAGACTATTCGACTGACTAGAGACAGGAAATCTCTTGAGAGTCTAGGTAAGCATCCCAACCCTCTAAAGATCCACCCATGAACAAATGTAAATCTGGATGAGGTGCAAGAAGTGGAAACCTTGTCATGGTCTGGTCTCTGTCAAGCCACCAAGCCATGTCTGCCCTGATTGTGAAAGTAAGGATAATAGAGTGGTTCAAGGAGAAGTCCTACTAATCAAGGAATGCATATAAGCTTGACCTATGAAAATGAGAGCTTCTGAGGAAACCCACATGTGAGGTGATCACTTGCTCCTTATCCCAAAAATGAAGAGGAGAAGGTTGGGCCAAACTGAGGTTGAAATTGAAGAAAAACCCCAAATGAGCAAGGTATTGAGTGGGGGTAAGAATGGACTTTTCCACCTTTACCAGAAAACCCACCCATGCTGCTTCTTGTAGGAGTAGACAAGTGTGGTCTCTGGACTGCGAACTGCAAGAGGTAATTATGAATGTGAAGACCCATTGGGCAAAAGTTTGTACCATCCGATAAAACACAAAAAGAGCCAAGGTTAGTCAGAACTTCAGAACCCTGAACTGGAACACCCGATCCTTGTGGATGAACCAAAGAAAATGACATGACTCAAGAGCAATAGGAATATGAAGAAAAACATCCATCATGTCAAACTTGGTCATCCAGAGTCCCGAGGAAAACACCCACCAAAGTTAGAGATAGGACTCCACAGTGAAGTGAGGGGTCCAGATAAGAATTCAATCAGGACAGATCAATGATAGTTCTCCAATCTCCCATCTTCTTAGGAACCACAAAGAGATAGGAATAAAAACCTCATTTGAATGGGGCACACCTGCTTGATAGCTCTTTGTGAAGCAGGTCATGGATGGCCTCGGTAAGATGATTGAAAGATGAAGGTTCCTGAGAAGGTGGGAAAGAAATAGGGGAATGAGGTGGAGACCAGAACTGAAAGAAGGGATCTCCTGACAGAACTCTTAAAACCCATGGATCTGTCATGAAATGCTGTCACATGGCCAAAAAGTGTGGGAAAAATGAAAGTATGAATAAGATTGCTAGGAGGAAGGCAAGGGTCTGAGAGAGGAAGAAGAAGGATGGGAAACAAGGATGACCTCAAATACAGTATTGCATAGGAAGGGAGCCTAATGCAGGAATGAATGGGATGATGCACCACCACAAGTAAAGCATTCCTCTTCAATAAGTCCAAATAACACAGGAGCCAGGTATTTAGGGAAAGGGCAGAGGTCAATAAATGAGCCATAGTAGACCAAAGGAGGGCCCTGAGCTCATCTTAAAAAAGTTCATGGGAGGGATGCAAGGCCTCAGACAATAATTGGAGGAAAGACAGATAACATAATAGGGAGGAGGAGGTTAGGCAAATCTATGAGAATTGAGTCTGATTAAAATGAACCAAATCCTCAAGATTCAAACACAAAAGGGTGAGTAGAGGATCTGACTGCTGAAAATCCAATTATGGATCCAAAGTGAGATGATACACCAAAGCACATTGGTCCAACAAATGAGGGGGAATGAGTACACTGATATCTGACTGAAGTTGGTCAGAAAATGTCTGAGCATGAACTCGTATGTTGGGTGAGGGGGGGGGGGGGATTCAGAAAATGGAATGCCACCCAGTAAATAAAGGGAGGCATCTTAGGTGATAGGGGTATAAGTAAAATACTACATATTTGATTAACAAGTTGTCAAAAAGGGATGAGAGGTAAAAATCTCCTAAATAGGTGTAGACTGTGACTGACCAAAATAAGAAGGTGCTGGAAAAATTTTCAAATTTTCTTCTTCAGAAACATGTTCAGGTTGAAAAGCAGAAGAAATCGCTGGCCTGAACATATGACTAGCTCCCTGCGAACTAAGGCCTGTACTTCCTTTGCAGTTAAAGATGAACCTGAATCCTGGGAAGTCATACCACTTGCATTATCAACTGTCATGGGAATTTCAGTTTCTGACACATTGAACCTAAAATACATACTATGTTCACTTATAAATCGGGAACAAGAAACAAATACAAATGCAAAATCATTGAAACAATTGAATTCAAACACAGAAAAATAAAATTGTTAAAACAATTATTATAGTGGCAAGGAAGCACAATCAGAAACTGTAGTCACATGCAAAAAAACACATCTAAATGACATAGCACCAATCAAGAAAGCGAGGATTGAGCAGGAATAGCAAAGGAGCTGCACCAAAATAGGTGACAATACTATTGGTGGAGAGTAATCACACATGTACATGTTTAAATATGACTTGAAATTTATTTTTAGCAATACTTAGAGGGCAGAAAGAAGATCAAGATAGCTTTGTGTCAATGAGGTAAGACCATATGGGAAACTTAGTGTCATCCTTTCTTGAAATCAAAAGTAAAAAGGCAAGAAAAACAACACTAAGCATTAACTAAAGGTTTAAAGTAATAAATGTAAAAATTCCATAATTTGTGCTGATAGACACATCTGAATCACAAGCACTGTCAAAGAAATGAGTCTTTGATGTACACAATGTGCTCAAAGGGAGCATTGCACATAAGGGATGTGTTGCTCTCCTATTGATGGAGAAATATAGTCTAGTACTGATTGTATCATATACTAGGATAGTACCTGTTATTACTTGTAGGGGTGACAGTTTCATTCAAAAGCTTGGTGCATGTGCAAAAGTTTTGGGTAGTTAAATGAGATACTACTTGTTCTGCCGAGAGGCAAGTACCATTTTTAAATTAACTTTTTTGATTATATTTTAATTTGATTTCAAAGGCAATAATATTAACCATTTTTCAGTTGTCATAATGGAGTTAACTATGAGCTGGAATGTTTATAACACATGTGTATATACAGACAAAAAAAAAAGGAATACAGATACAAACAGACAGAGGAACAGATGTGTTAACCCCTTGCATGTACTTATTTAAATTGTATCACAAAAAACATTAAGTAGCACAACAATATTTTTAATTTCCTTCACAAATTTCCTCTTCAAAACCATTAAACATGACATTTAAAATAATGAATGAACAAGTGTGTATAAAAATTTTAAATTAATGAAAAATCTGAGTTCCAAGTTTGATACATTTTACTCGTATAAATCTGAGGCATACTTTTCACTAAAACATTTATAACTTAGCAAATTACAACAAAATATAGCCTTATAAACTGAATGTACAGAGTACATATGCTTACAACAACTCTATAAAAGTGTACATATAGGTTTATTATGTAACTACCTCAGAGCTTCTCTGTTCTTATTTCTCTTCCTATCTAGGTCAACTAGTTGATTTTTATCAGTCAGAATATCTTCTGCTACTTCCTCTACTTCACTTAGGTACTGAAGCAACTTGTCAGTTCCCTGATTCATAGTTTAAACCTATGGGTAAACATGCATAAAGTGGATAAAAAATTTTTAACTACATTCTCATAATGACACAATTTTCAAGCATGACAACACAAACCAAAGTGAACTTTTCTTCATGTATGCATAATTTTCATATAGAATTTTTTTTAATATCTCAACTTAATGTTTACAGGTTTAGTATTAAATCAGAAAGGCTAAATGTACTTTATAGACAATATACACTAATTATTTATTATATAGCTAATTATATATATATACATTTTACTATTTAGCCAGACATATTCATGTACAAGGTTTTTCCCTTCCCTCTCTATTTCTTTCAAACTTCTGAATTTCTTCAGGGTTTCTTTGGAAATTATTAGTTAAATGGAGGGTTTATATTATTTCATTGCTCTATAATCAAATGTCTGAAAAGAAATGACTATTCTTTTCATTATGTTTGTTCTCTAGCCTTCCTTCATCTTCTCATGTTTTCACTGTGTATTTTTTCCCCGAACCAGATATTCTTCATATAAACATGTCTTTAACAACATCGGGAACCTAATAATTACTTGCTTAAATTAATTTGTATTTTCGTTCAAGACAACCAAAAAGACAATTATGTTCTTGGTTGTGACTACAATGTTTTGGACCAATACAGTAAATGAATAAATCACTTGCTCAAGCTCATAATACTTAAGTTCATTGCTGTATACCCATTTAGTGTAATGTCTTTTTTGCATCATAAAATAATGGTACATGCATTTCTGTGGTATTCTAAGGTGCACTGATTTTCCTTCAGAACAATCAGGTAGGATTTGCATATTAACAGGAGGTTTTACAGAAAATGTTACGCAGAGCTAAACTATATTCTCTGACTTTGGCCAAATTGTGAAAAGAAAGAGACTTGACACAACATACAGTAATGTAAAAACAATATTTATTTTATAAAACACAATACAAAATGATGAGTGTGATGAAGATCAGCACCTGCACTGTAGCTTCTTAGGGTCTCTGTGAAGGATTTATAAATTCTGTTCCATACTGAGAAAACATAGCATTATATGCACAAAACAATTATGATATTCTTTTCAGGATGTATGCAGTACAAACTACTCATGTAATTGTTAGTCATTCTCATCAAACATTAACCCTTTAGTGCCAGGTACCCCTTTAAACCCTTTTTTTGCACGAATCATTGTGTTACATTCAAAATATAATTAAACACCTTAATATCAATGTATGTGAATGAAATTAATATTATAATGTATGTTATGATTCAGAGGTTTATGTTATCTAAGTTTTAAGCCCTTTATTTCAAAAGAAACCTTTAAAAATTACTTAAACTTCAGATGTATTGTCACATGACCAATGAGCTATGAAAATTCTCCACTTTGGCTCTCTTTATCTTCAATAAGTTGAGTAGAGGTACATCTAATAATAAGTGGTAAAGGATAAGAACAGAAAACAAAACATAAAAAATTAACTGTATGTGAAAAGGAAAAGACACGAAATTATGAATATAAGCAAGACAACATTTTTATGGATATTCTACAAAAAAATTAAAAGTTTTTTTTTTTCCAAATTTTAATCATTTTATTGCACTCTATGTTGAGGATAATAGTTAAAGTTAGTGATATGGTAAAAAAAATGAAAGTTAAAATATAAACATTTATCTTAAAATTTTGATATTCATTTAGGAGGTTCTAAAGGTTATGCAAATCAAGTATGAAAAGTATAAGATGGAGAAAAGTATTTTTTATACTTAAAATGAAAATCACCTGGCACTCAAACTATTTTTTACAGTCCGAGTGCAAATAACTACTGTAGATAAATACCACTTTTATTAGATACTTATAAACTTTAAAAGAATCTCACGAGGTTTTGTGAGAAACACACAGAGTTACCGAATTTTTGTTGCATAAATATCCTTCCATAGTCGAGCAGATGATAATTTCATCCGCCGTGTTTAAAGAAGTAATATAAGTTGTATCTTCAAGGTATCATCTGACCCAAAAATGGAAAAACAAAACTGCTGTGTACATTCACTTAGTATGTTCTCCTTTAGAGAAATTCTTCCCACGAGAAAGAAGGTGCACGTATCATATACGTATTACCTGTTCAATAGGTAACTAGAGAGAAAGTACATACTATACTTCTAAACATGCTCCAATACACATTTCATACATTAGAATAATTCCTTCAATCCCAACAGTAATAGTTATACAATTGACTATTCTATATAAACTCTTAAATATGCTTATAAATCATTAATTTAGACCTAAGAAACAAAACTGCAATTTTAAAAACATTTGGAGATATTGGTGTGGTATTTTTAGGTGTAACTCATTTCCTGAGCAAATCAGGTAGGTCTGCTATATAATGGAAGAGTCAGCAGGATATATCATGAAGTGATAATGAATCTAGTTAAAATTGAGTTTGAGCAAAGAAATAAATTGACAAGACACAATGAGTAACATACCACGAAAACAAATTGTGGTTAGTTATATCAAAAAAACAAAAACTGTGTTTGTGACTTTATTAAACTGGCATTCTTTCCTTGAGATTTATTCTTGCTAAGTAACTCACTCAAGATCCAGTACATGAAAGTTTAAACATAACATTTCTTACGTAACAGGAAACATCAGGTTTACCTATAGTGACTAGTAATACCCATGTGCCTAGTCATTCTTATTCAAACACAGTAGAAGCCATAACATTAAGTATCATCTAGCCTATCACTGGAGAACACTGGCTGTTGACATTCTTACAACATGTGCAACAAGGGTAGAACATGTGTAATCTCCATAGAATGACAAAGGAACAAAGGCAGCTACAATGAAATCAATTTAATGGCTTTCATGGCCACACATAATGCAAAAACTGTATAAACTTAAAATAAATGAAAAATTTTGTATCAAAATGAGAAGGAAGAAAATTTAAGTTATGATTGCTATTTTTATGTGCACAAATATTTAGTATTTTGATGATATTTTGAAGAAAAAACGTTTTTCCTTAAAGCCTCTGCTTTATTTCTATGGTGTGTTACTGCTATACTAAATTATAGAAAAGGTTAAAACCAGGGTTTTAACAACTATTCAGTATCTGAAATATAATTACCAGTTTTGCCAGATATTAGTACTTATTCAGCAGCTGAATAGCTGAAATTTTCATATAATTTATCAGGAACAATATAAACTAAAAGTTAAGACAGGAAGAATAAATTACATACTAACACAATGTAGATCAAACAATTAATAACTTTATTAATGTATAATATTAATAACATTTACATTTTTCTGTAATTAAATATTACAACAATTATGAAACAAACTCTTATCAGTATGAGTCATCCCATGAAAATGGGAATACCAAAAGTGATTTTGAACTTGCAGTATTCCCTTGTGTCACACACATTTTAAAAGCAAAACACCTAAGCTCTCTGAAATTAAAAATTGTCAGTGGTAGAGCACTCCAGGGGTAGGAAAAAATACCACGTAATGGGGTGGTGAATTTCTTTATCTTGCAGTCAGTACTTCAATTGTTAGATTTTATTTTTATGTAAAAGTTATTGAAATTTAATTTTCATCTATCTTAATGTATATCAGCAGATATGAAGGATGAGTGGTCACTAGATATATGCATTACCTCAATACAGCCATTTCTGTTGGAGAGATCCTTTAAAAATTATGTATAGTCCATAATGTAACATTCATTACAAAATTACTTGTAAAGTTATATACCTACATTAATAATTAAAATTTTCTTAAGTATAATTTTCAAAGGCAAATCAACTAGAGTTACTGTGATTAACATTATCTTTAAAGTTCATTGTTTTCATTATAATTAATCAATAATTTGTTATGGATGTTATAAATAACCAGAAGCCACAGAAAATGCAGAAGGACCTATTACATTTCTATTCTTGATTTACAGATAGGAAAAAAATTACCCAGAGTTTTTAACTAAAGGTTTAAAAGGTAAAAGAAAAGAGCAATGCAAACACAAAACTTATAATTACTGAAAAACAAAGTAGAGAGCAGACTAAGAAATTACATGTAAAAATAAATGAAGAGAAAAGTGAAAAAATAATGGCAAAAAATGTAGTCAGCATCATCACCAAGTACATCATTACAGCCTCCACCAACACCCTTTCAGTCACCATACACCACCTCAAAGTCTTTAAGTAAAACAGTAAAAAGGGCAAAACATGCCCTTCCCTACAGTTCAAGAAAATGGAATGTTATTGCTGTTAGTTAGTTGGCCTTGTCATTTGGCTTGCCAGTCATGATGAGATTGCAGCAATCAGAAAGACCTCATGATAATGCCCTGCTAGAAGTCATGAAGCAGGTCACTGCTTTCTACAATAGGGATGACACATCAAGACAAGCTCCAGGTTAAAGAGCCTTTGTAACTATTAAATCTCTAGATGGCAAGAAACATGTTCAGAAGTGACACTTACTGATGTCAATAGCTGAAGCACATTTTCTATTTGCAAATGAAAACAACGATATACATATCACTCTAACACAGGTTGCTGATATAAGGTTAAAACTTGTATTTTTAATGAACCAAATGCCACATTCCATTCACCATTGTATTTACCATGAGAATACAATAAAATTATACGAGGTCATTCACAAACATAATAAAACAATTCTAACCTATAAAGGTTTCATACAATCATGCCATCTATAGTGTAGAAAACGAAAACTGTTCATGCAGAACTTTTCCTTGAATAATGAGGTTTCTGATTTGGAAACATGGTGGTGCAAGTGGAACATTGTTGACATCACAACTGTGAAATTGGTTGAACATGGCTCAGTTTTATACCTGTACAATATTATTGTAAAGGATTTTGGCACTTTCACATACGATTGTTTTGTTAATAAGAACCAAGATTCTTCATTTGAAAGAGACAAAATACAACTGAACGGCAAAAGGAGCTGTCATTCAGATAGATTTGTCTGAAAATTATATTTGTTAGTAGCAAGATGAAATTCAAAATCCCCAATGGCACCAGAGACAGATGACTGTTTCGATGAGTCTGATCCTGGGACACAACTTGTGAGATCAACTTCAGCTTGCTGGGATTCCAGATCATGCATGATCACAAGTTGCAATGTGTGAAGAGAACAATATTCACTTGGCAAGAAATTTCAACCTATCCCCATACGGCAACTCTCCAATCCTGGAATCATCCTGGTAAGTTTTCTCTGAGCCTTAATATTTCAAAATCTTATGTTGAATACCCTGATCCAAACTGAACACAATATTCCAAATGAAATTTAACCAGTGCCATAGAAGTTGAACTGATGACTTCCTTTGACTTGTACTCAACCTAAAAATATACAGCCTAAAAATCTTGTTTGCCTAACTAAAGCTGGGTGATTAGATTGAAAAATGGATTAACATCACGAACTATAAGCAATGAATCAAAATTATGGTTAAACTGATCAAGACACATTGATTCTAGCTCATTGGCTCTAAATGTGCACAAAATATTTGCAAGCCATACAACGTATATGGCACACACGCATTCAACTGCCGAGGCAAACTGTACCCTATAAGGCAAATCAGCAGTCAATTGGTTAAACAACATCTGTTATTCCTCTTTGAAAGTAATATAGTTCTGGTTGCGCATATTCAACAATATTGCTCAAGTCTGTAGGAAAACAGTTTGGAAGGAGTACTATAAAAAATATTTACAAAAACTACTACTTCTTCAATAAAATGCATAAATGAATCTAACAAAAAATTATGCTTAAAAAAAATATGCAAGTTAGTTTATAGTTTACTATGTTCCCCTCCCCAGTGTCTAATTAGTAAGTTTGTGAGCTTAATATGTTAAAAATTGGCTTTCAATACCTGCGGTGGGCAAAGCACACTTCACAACAAACAAATATTTTACAATACTACACGAACAACAACAAAAAAAATCAAAAAATTATGGACCATACTACGGACTTTATCATAGTACACAGTGTAATTTGTTGCTACATTAATAATACATTACACTAATTTCTAATCACACAAGTCGTTTAAAAGTTGAAGTTTGAATTTAATAATGATGAGCTTCATGAATTAAAAATAAAAGGAAAAAATGCATATATTTAATGGTTAATAATATTAAGAACAGGAAAAGTTTGGGTCATTCAACATCTGAATGTAAGTAAAATACATTACACCATCATACTGTTATTGTTAGTTCAATTCTAACTAAACTGAGAACTTATGAATGAAAGCAGTGTTACTAATATAATGGTGTTGGGCTAGTACTACATAATACTACAAATAAATAAGCACCACAGTAGTAGATAGTAAATTACGTGGGTTGCAGTAACCGGCTACACTAACATTATAACTTCGATAAAAAATACGATTCATTTTCGCAAATAAAAAAAAAGACATTAGAAAGAGAGCAAGAGTAACAAACGTTAACTTACGTTTTTCAGCGCTAAAGAATATATACGAATAACGAATTAAATGGAATAAGCCTAAAAATGTAAGAAATTAAGACATATCCAATAAACAACTATTCAAAAAAAGGAGAATACATATTAACTAATTAACACTTATAATTGCACGCATTTATTTAATAACCGTAATTCTCGTGAAACTGAAGTCTGGATACAGCATAAAAAGTTACAGTTTATTATATCAATGATACTGAGATGGCGTTCTGTGTATGTATCATTTCCACTTAAAGGTCATCTTACCAGGTCAGTAAAATATTATTATTATTATTATTTAGGATAATAAACTTCATTTACGACTACTCAAAACAGTGGCGTTAAATAAGTTAGCACTTGCTTTCACTCTTTTTCAGTATTGATAATGTCGTAAAGAAAATCATTAAATAGATTTCGTTACATACATTGTACCAAATCCTTTATTCTACATAAAAAAAATAATAAAAATGTAAATTTCTCTTGGGTTTTAAATTCGATTTACCATATTCTTCGGTTTATAAGACGCACTTTTTACCCCAAAATTTGATGTCAAAATTTGATTGCGTCCTATACACCGAAGGTATGAATAATATATATATGTATATTGTTACGACAGCGGAAGTCACGTGACATTGGTAACACGTGATGAGTTTCTAGACGGATCGGGGAACATCAAGAATAATCCAGTATTTGCTAGACGCCCTCTATTCCTGTATATAAGCGCGCCATATAAAGCGAGACAATTAATCGGAATTGAATTGCAGACAGGCAGAGACAGAGACTGACAATTGAGTCAAGCGCAGTGACCGTAAGTAAAGTGCGTGAATCGTTGTAAATTATAGCATGTGTTCAAGTTAAAGGGACTGTGGAAATTAAGTGTATTGCAAAGTTGTATAGAGAAATAATAATCTAGTTTTATTTAAGAAAGGACTTGTATCGCTGATGTTTTTCAGAAAGAATTTGTACGGAAAATTAAACAATGACCAGAGACGTAACAAACTGATGTCAGAGAGTGGTACAAAAAAATGGAAACGAGAAGCAGCAAATCAAACTACAGCTTAGCAGATTTGATGGCAGCAATACAAGAGCAGGAAAAGAAACAAGAAGAGAGATTACAGCAGTGGTTGGAGGAGAAAGAAAAGAAACAAGAAGAATCGTTCTTCTTGTTTCTTTTCTTTTTCCTCCAACCACCGCTGTAATCTCGTTCTTCTTGTTTCTTTTCTTTTTCCTCCAACAACTGCTATAATCTCTCTTCTTGTTTCTTTTCTCGGAAAAGAAACAAGAAGAGAGATTACATCAGTGGCAAGAAAACCTGCAACAGTGGCAGCTCGAACAACTAAATAAACAAGAGAGAGAGATTACAGCAGTTGTTGGAGGAAAAAGAAAAGAAACAAGAAGAGAGATTACAACAGCTGTTGGAGGAAAATGAAAAGAAACAAGAAGAACGAGAAAATAAACAAGAAGAGAGACTACATCAGTGGTTGGAGGAGAAAGAAAATGAACAAGAAGAGAGACTATAGCAGTGGCAACTAGAACAAGAAAGGAAACAGGAAGCACAAATGGCAAAGCTTAGTAAATTTAAAAGCGAATTAGATACATTAAAGGATGATTTACTGTCTTTTACACAAGGAGGTTATATTAACCATCGACTTAATCAGCCCCAGACAATGGCAAGCCCCTTCCAGACCCCGCAGCTAAACCCTAATGCAGACATCTTCAGTCCTGTTAGAAGTCACATCCCAGATATGAATGTCAGCAATAGGGGTCATCCAGTATAAAGGAAGTCACAGGAATTTGATGGGAAGGCACCGTGGGAAGCATATAGAGCACAATTTGAGCTACTGGCAGAGATGCATGGATTGACAGAGGAGCAGAAAGCGGTATATCTGGCAACGAGCTTGAAGGAACAACCACTGGAAATGCTTGGACAGTTGCCAGCAAATGACAGGCACAATTAGAGAGCACTGGTAGCTGCTCTAGAACTCAGGTATGGAACCCAAAATTAGTCAGAAGTCTAAGGGCTAGGTTTAGGACAAGAGTCCAGTGCTAAAGGGGAGAGCCTGCAAGATCTGGCACAGGACTTGTCAAGTATGGCACACAAGGCCTACCCAACTACACCAGCCGATATCTTCAAGCTGTTGCTGAGGGATCAGTTTGTAGACACCTTGGACAGTCCACAACTTAAGATACAAGTGAAGCAGGCACACCCCTCTACTATGTAGGATGCAATGGCCAGAGCTCTTGAATTTGAATATTATGTTAAATCCAGCACAGAGGTATGAAGGTTGATACAGTCATCAGGATTCAAGGCCAGAAAAGGGCAGCTTTCAGAGAAGTTTGAGGGACTTTGCTAGCACTGTAATAAACCTAGGCACAAGAGAGCTCAATGCCGAAAACTTCAAC